GGAGCTAAAGATAAACCCCCCAAAGTCAGAAAAAAATTTCACTGCAAACTATTTTGGGTCAAGTGAGGCATCAAAATTCTTATCTAACTTCTCTGAAGTGAGAACAAACAAATTTTACACAATATTATAGTGAAAAACTTCTCTAAATGGTCAATTTTTTTATGTCATTCAGTGAACAAATACATTAGCATAATAGCCCAAATGTAAGTACAATAATCACTTTAAATTTTAGCAACATTCTCATAAGGTCAATTTAATTTGTCTCACTGTCGTGCATACCACAAGATCTGCACTCAGATATTGATATTAAGATTTGGAGGTAAATTATTAAAAAACTCAATCTAGTGGGCTTTAACTGCGGGAGGTAAGTTTTCTGCTAGATCTGTCTGGGAACATATCAGTAGTGAAGGACCAACCGTGCAATGGCATTATCTAGTTTGGTATGGTAAAGCTATCCCAAGAATGGCCTTCATCCTCTGGCTTGCTATTAGATGTAAACTGAGTACCAAGGGCAGAATTCAAAGATTTGCATCTCAGATTGACTCACAATGTGTTCTATGCAGGAGTGCTGAAGAAACATACAACCATTTGTTTTTTGAATGTAATTTCTCTAATAGGGTTTGGAATTGTGTTATGCTTCTAAGCAAACAACAATGGCAGCAGAGACAATGGATTGATTCAATCTCATGGGTTGCTCAACAGTGGAGAGGAAAATCAATGAAGACAACTCTTTTAAAGCTTAGTCTCTCAGTTATTGTCTATTCTTTGTGGACTGAGAGGAATGGGAGAATTTTCAAAAGCAGAGCAAAGACCCAAATTCTCTATTTCAATCCATCAAGCAAAGCATTAGAGAAAGGCTCATATCCTTGAAATTCAAGAGAACTCAACATGATGCAAATTTGCTGCAACAATGGAACCTCCTTGAAGCTTGGTAGATCTGAGTAATCTTTGGCTTCCAAATGTTTTGAGCTCCTCTGGCTCTTTGCCTTTTAAGTGTTCACATCTCGCAACTTGGATTATGTATTTGGATGGAAGTTCTGGCTCATATCCTATACTTCCATCAAAATTCTCTGTCCAAGTTGTGCCTTTTGAGTTGTTTGTTAGGCTTACATTTTGGTTCTTTTTGTTAGGTTCCAGAATATGGGGCCTTGTTGTACATGTTTTTTGTTCTTTAATATAGTTCTATTGATCTTCCGAAAAAATCATAATTTTTGAAACTTTTGAGTCAAAGTGTAATTTCTATAAAAAAGGAATTTTGTGGCTTCAAGGATGCCATAAATTTTCCAGAATTCTATTTTTGCAACTTTCTAAGTAAAAAGTTGGTTAAAAATTAAATTTCAAGGAATATAGGGGTCAAGGTAAAGTTCCTTAAAGTCAAAGAGGTGAATTATGTAATTTCTGGACTTTGACTTCTTCCACCTACGTAATTCCCAGGTTGTTTGTTATGCAACAACTCCAATCCCTTTTCTTATTTTTTCAACCTATTGATTAACCAACTATAAATTTAAATTCAATCTAATAATTTCATGTGGTTGAATAAATTATAAAACCCATCAAATAAATAATAAACTCATCTTTAAGGGACCTAACCACTTGTCTTTTTCTTCCTTCTTTCTCTCTCTCTCTCTCTCTCTCATTATTTTTTTTTTTCCTCTTTATTCATGAGACAGGCTCCTCCACAAACCTTCTCACCAATTAAAAAAACTCTACAAACCTAAATATATTTATATATATACAAAATATTTGACTTATCCAACAATACTACCCGATTTAAACTATATGTATAATAGTCCTAATTGGTCTATATAATTATATGATATTTTCTCCTACACCAAAATAGCTAAATTATCTCTATTGATTTCCAAAGCATATTCATAAGCCCATAAGGATAGACCCCAAGCCAAACAAAAATCTAAAACTTTTCAAATCCAACTTATTCACTTTTATTTTTATTATTATTATTTTTATTTCATTTTTTTATAGTTTAACCACAAGGCATCAGGTATAACTAATTCTAAATTTTTAAATAATTTGTTCTCTTTTTATTTATCTATTTATTTATTAGATAGATCCAAACACATACCTATGTCTTTTATTACACTATCTTCGACGATTATGTTATTATTTGATATGTAACTCCTAGACAATTCTCTCTCTTTTAAAACAAAGTTGTGACTGATCATTTCTCACCTTTCTTTAGACTCTGTCGTGTGGCTTTCTCTTAATGTCTTTGATTTTCTGGATATCGATGTGTCAAACATTTTCATAATTTTATATTTTAGGTCCAAACAAATACACGATCCATTGATGGGCAACTGAAATTCTATTATGAAGCAAATCAGTTGAAGTTTCAAAACTTTTGACAGAGAAACTAGGTTCATCTAGTGAGAAACGAGGTCCATGTCTCATTTGTATGACAGTTTGGTCCTCAATTCTTTAGGCTATACAGAAATTGGATCTTCTAAAGCATTATGGGCAATGATGTGTACCCCAAATTTGGGGTAGCCACTTAAAAAAATATATCAGTGATCTCTCGTTATTGTGGGGTCTGAGAAAGGTTAGATATATGCAACATTTTTCCTGCAAGTACAGAGGCTGATTTTCACGATTTGAATCTATGATTTCAAATCACAATAAAACAATCTTATCAATATGCTAAGACCCAAGTAGTCAGTTTATTTATTTATTCATTTCAGGTTGGAAATAGCATAAAAAAAGACTGTAAAAGGTATCCACTGATACCCGCCACCCCCAACTGCATACCACTAATCATAGACCTCTGCCAAGAAGGAAACCACTTCAGTGTTTGAATAATATAATGAAAGAAATCTAAATCAATCTCCCCACTGTTGACGCATACTCTACACTTACACACTTCTATTGACCACAATTTTATAGTTTTTAATCTATTTTTATATATTTTTATTTATTAAATATGATATTTTATCTATTCCTGTAATTTTTTATCCTTCAAATTTTTTGTATTTCTATTTTTCCAAATTACTAAACGAAATAGAAGAAATAGACTTCACACCTACAAAATGGCCTAGATCTATTGCTTTTTAAATGTGAAAATAAGAGAGGATAGGAGTGTTTTTTTAGTCTATTTTATAAGAATAGTACACATTTTGGTAGTGCTTAGAGCACCAATTTCCTCATTATCAACATTAGTTGATCTTTTTTCTGGCACTTATGATCGTTTAACTTATTTAATCGACGCTTTTTTTTTTTCTGATTTTGTTTTATCCTTATTTTTTCGTATATGTCCAAGATTAATTTGTTCATGTATATTTTCTGCCTATATGCAGCTATGCAATTAAGAAGAAAGATGAGCCAGAGAGGGTTGCAAAGGCCAACCGTTGAGAGTGGAGTGGAGCAACCTCGTATATGTTAGGACGATTCTTTCATTAATTTTATGCAATTTTATATTTGGTCCCCCTAAAGCTTTGGTGTTTTTTTATTTGACCCACTATTTTAAATTAAAATAATTTGAAAGTTTTAGGAGCAATTTAAAATAAAGATTATTGTCCGCCCATTTTTAATTGTTGAAGTGAGAAGTATATGTCAGCTAAGATGGTGTTATATAAGATTACTGCATGTATAATTAAAGGGACTGTATAATACAAAAAAAATCGTAAATCTAGAAACATTAAAATTCATTGGAAAAAATTATCATGATTTGTAATGCTAAAATTACTTCTTCTAATTGACATTTTATATAAAAAAAAAACAAATTTCATTCAAGCGAAACATCAACGAACCTAACTTTTGTACTGCTCTTTGATGCCAAAAAAAGTTATCAAATAGAGACCCAACACGGAATTACTTTTGTAAAAATAAAGTGAATTCTCTCTAAATTAAACTTTTGTATTCAAAATTAAAGATGGCCTACCGCAATCAACGGAGGAAACCCTGTAAATAAGTTGGAAAGTAAGGGTATATAGAGAAATAATATTAAAATTAAAGACTTAAGGCAGTATTGGAGGGGTAGAGAGAGGAGAAAATGAGAGGGAAACAAAAGACAAAAAATCTAAAGATGGAATCAGTGGGTCAACAATTGGAATTTTTTTAGGGTTAATTGCAATGGAGATTTTTAATTATGAAAATTTGTCTCATTTTAGACCTTAATGTTTCATTTGCATCATTTTAGTAACAATTCATAATCTCTTGCCTTTTTATTTACTTTGATTTTGATTAATTTTTACAAAAAATTTATATAAGAATAGCCACAAACCTTGATTCAAATTTAATTTGAGTAAAAGCAACTTTCAATCCTTTTTTTCAAACTTATACCAAATTAAGCAAGATTTAAATTTTACTTCAAATCTTTAATGATCAAATTTTATTATCTTTTAAAGATTCAATATTCATATTTAATATTATTTTAAATTTAAATTTGTCCTTTTTTTACATTTGAGTTTGTTTATTGTTTTATATCAAATCAATCTTTTTACATAAATATTGGGTTGAATCAAAATTAAAGATGGTCTAATAATGCAATCAACAGAGGAAGCATATAAATAAGTTGGGAAGGAAAGTTGTATAGAGAAATAATAATAAAATTGAAAGACATAGCATAAGGCGGTATTTGGAGGTGTCAGAGAGAGTAGAAAATGAGAGGGAAACAAAAGACAAAGTCTAAGATGGAATCAGTGACGTGTAAGGATAAACATTATAAATTTTTTATAATTTTTTTTTGTTGATGTGAGAAGTAAATGTTAGCTGGATGATGTTATTTTTTTTTTTTATTAATAAAGTTTCATGATTGCAAACGGGTTTAAATAACAAATCTGAATAATGTTTGGTTTAATCATCAGCCTTTAAGTCGCGGGGGGCGGGGGGGGGGGGGGGGGGGGGGGTACACGTTGGACCTTCCCCTCCATCCTCTTCTATCTCCCTCTCTAAGGTAAACCTTTCTTCCACTGTCAGCTGACCCAAACAGAGCAAGCGCCTCATCTACCATCTCTGATCTCTCTCCTATCCAAAATTCCAACTCAGCCATGGTGAGACTTGCAATGTATGAAAAGAATGCGAAAGCCCAAGCCATCTTCGAATCCGATGAAATCGACGAGTTGGAAGACCTAATCACCGACTTTATGTCCGATTCCAACGACACACGCTCCGACGCCAAGTCGATTTTCGAAATCTGCACATATAAAGCCAACCTACATCTCTTCGCTAACAAGCTTTATCGCGTGCTCTCCTCCTCCCACCTAGATCTCAACTCATGTACCATTTCCGCCATTCTCCTTCGCAAGACGCTCATCAATAAATTTTACGTGCCCTTCCTCCTTTTTCCTCCTGAAACTCAATCGACTCTAAAACGCGATCTCTTGAAATTAATTGACACATCCGTTGACACACCTACAAGACCAATCAATAAAGAACTCTGCCACACTGTATCAGCGCTTGCAGATTCTCTTTTACCTGAAAAAAAATGGCCCGAATTCTTACCCTTTTTATTTCAACTTGTAAAATCTGATAAAAAGAGGGCGTTGTTGATTGGTGCTCATTTAGCAGAGGGACTGAAGGAGTTGCATTCAGTTACCTTGAATAAGGAGTTGCATTCAGGTTTATTGCAGTGTTTGAAAACAACAACAGAGGGGGAGGATGTGCGTATCACGGTGTTGGAGGCCGCAATTAATTTCATTCTACGTTTAGAACAAAAAGATTTGGTCAATTTTCAGGATATGTTGACAGCGATGATGTCTACGTTGAAGGCGTTGTATAGTGGGAATGAAACGATAAATTTGGCAGGAATGAAGCGGACGTTTGTTAGGAAACAAATTGTGGAGATGGTGAAGACAATATTGCTGATGGTCGATGATCATAGTTTGGAGAAAGAGACGAGGCGTTTGGCCATTGAATTCGTTTTGACATTGGTCCAGTTCGTTTTAACATTGGCGGAGGTTGAGAGAACGACTCCCAGGCAGCTGAAGAAATTAATATGGAGGAGATGTGGGACGATAATGAGGAGACGGATAAATATGGGTCTTGGCAGGGGTGTGTGGATAGGCTATCGAATTTGTCTTATAGGAATGCTATTTTGACTGTTGCTTTGAAAGTGTTTCCGGCGTATTTGGCTGCTCCTAAAGGGCAAAACGCACTCATGCCGCACTCATTGCGCTCTCAAAGAGTATAATTACATGGAATTGTCGGG